GCCTCCAGGCTGAACACTCAGATGTCAAGGTTTCCCAAGTGTTGAGGTCCATTCCTAAGGCCTTCAGATCCCGCTTGCAGATAACCTTGTATCGCAGCTGTGGTCTCCCTCTGGGGCACTTTCCCTGCACTAATTTTCCATACAGGAGATATTTTGGAATTCGACCATCAGCTATTCTCACAACATGCCTGAGCCAATGTAGATGTTGCTGTTTCAGTAATGTATGCATGCTAAAAATTCTAGCTTGTTCTAGGGCTACTCTATTTGGAACTTTGTCCTGCCAGGTGATACCAAAATTGTGTTGGAGACAACAAATATGGAACGTGGTCAACGTCCTCTCCTGCCGTGCACAAAGGGTCCAGGACTCACTGCAATACAGGAGTGTGCTCAGGACACAGGCTCTATAGACCTGGATCTTGGTATATGCTATCAAGCTTCTTATTAAGCCATACTCCCTTTGTGAGTCTAGAGATAGCTGCTTTGCCAATGCATTTATCCAGCTCAACATCTAGGGAGAGATTGTCAGTGATCACTGAGCTAAGGTACATGAACAACCTCAAATTCTTGTTTAGAGATGGTAAAAGAGGGAGGTGAGTCCATGCTCAGTCCCATGACTTGTGTTTTCTTCAGGTTGATTGTTAGTCCAAAATCTTGGCCGGCCTTGCTAGAACAATTTATAAGTTGTTGGAGGTCTTCAGCAGAATGGGCAACAACAGCTGCATCATTGGCAAAGAGGAACTCCCGCATGCATTTCAGCTGGACTTTGGTCTTTGCTCTCAATCTATAGAGATTAAAGATAACAAATGAGCAAGGTTTATTTAGATAATTTTGGAATTTGAATTTAATGGTGATAGCAGACATGGTAGAGGCTACAGTAGCATCTGGAGAATAAAATTAGCCCTAGCCCTGTAAAAGTCGTTCATCCCCTTTTTTTTGACAAAATCAGGAAAGGTGCCCTTTGCCCACCCCTCTATCACTTCATTTCACATTAAGAAGGTTGACTACATCCCTTCAAATGTGGTAAACCAGCCATCAGAATTGAGGTTTCTCTTACTGATTCCCCAGAGAAGACCATGAACTTGTGCCTTGGCTGTCCTGTCCTGAGTGAGCCATGTTAAATGATGCAGAATTTGTACTCTCTGGGAAACTAAAGAGCACATACAGGGGGAAAAAAGCCCTGTATCTGAATCAGGTTTAGCATATTTAAAATATTTTTTTTGGGTCTGGGAAGCATTTTTTGTTTGTTTGTTCGAAAGTACAGGGATCATGTTTTTTTAAAAAAATTGGAAATGAGGCATTTTACTCTTTCACTTGTTTGTTTTTAACTTGGATATCAAATTGATTTATTTTCAATTATTTTGGCATATGTGAATGCCTCTGTCAATGTAAATTGTGTTTGTGGGGTTTCCACTCACTGGCGGGCCTTCGTGCTCTCTTTTGTTTTCCACCCCCTGTGAGTGTTTCTGTCTCCCTGCTTTGCAAGCCCAGAAGTGCTGATCTAGTCAAAATATATATGGTCAGTTTCGAGCCTAGTCAGCGTCCCTGGCCCATTTCAACCTTTCCTGATTGTTTATGTTTAGCCTAGTCAATGTCTGTGGTCAGTTTCAGTCCTGGTTCCCTCCTTTTTCTATCTATCTGTCATTCTATACTAGTGCTATGCCAGATTGCAAGATAAATAAATAAATAAATAAATAAATAAATAAATAAATAAATAAATAAATAAATAAATAAATAAATAAATAAATAAATAACACCACAGCACCAGTGGATAGTGTCTGTGAGAGGCAGTCAGTGCATGGGTGGGTAGGTGCAGGACAAAGCCGCAAATGCAATGATTCTAAAAACAATGATACACAACATAGTTTAAAAACAGATTAATTCTTTTCCCCAAGAGGATGTATACACCGACCCAAAAACCATGTGACTACCACATGACTTTGGATTCAAAAAGCCTGATGCATCACCTGATTTATTTCTATAGTATAACTGTACCCTTAATTAGTAATGTTAGGGATGATAGGAACTCAGGAAGGAGCCTTGTTGTTCACCAGACCCTTGCACGATCAAGTCAAATATTATCAACTCTGACCAGCAGCACTTGGTCTCCTCTCATCCTACTAAGAGATGCCTGATAAATAAAGCCAGGCTCTACTAAGCTTGTGAAATCAAAAGAGGTCAGTATCATCAGGATGCTGTGACTAATTTCAGAGTCACTAGGAAACAGCCTCAGATTTTTTTCTTTTTCTTTTTTTAGTTTCAGATTTTTGACCTGGAATGCTTGACATGATAGAGAATCATGTGTAAGAAGTGTATAGAAATTCTTATTTTTAATTATAGTTTAATTCATAATGATTTCTGTGTTGTTTCTTCTGCATACAATTGGTGTGT